GCCCCGGAGGAGGAGCCCCTGAGCGTTGCTGCTTTAGCAGAGACTGGAAAATACTCGCCAGCTCCCTGGCACAGCCCGCACACACTTCCACCTCCGCGCCCCACGCTCCCCCGAGGGGAGAGCTTGCAAACCTCTGCCTTTTCTCTCCTCGTTCCTGCTGGCTGCGCCCTCCCGAACAACTCCCGCCACCGCTGCTCGTAGACTTTATTGCTGTTTGTCTGGTTTAAATCATTCTGTCTCCTAACACACGTCTCGTAAAGACGGAGTACCCACTACGGACGGATGTTCTCCCCCTGTTAGCTTTCAATTTTCCTTTAAGGGGAGGCCCTTCGATGCTATAGCTTGGACAGAGGAGCTAGGGACCAACCACAGCCCGGCAGCAGCCCCTGATCTCTTTTGAGAAGGTAAGAAGGCTCCCCAAACATCTCCTGCCTACTTCCACCCCCTTAATCTTGGAGCCCCCCGCCCCTCGTTTAATCGCCGCCAAAATAAACGAAGAGTACATGGGTACAGTGCAGAAAACACCACCGGGACTGAGAGCGGATGAGGCGGGCTGCGGTGGCCGTGAGTCAATCCCGGGGAAGCCTCGCGTGGGGGACTACCGGGTACGATCAAGCGGCACAAAGTCAAAAAAAGGAAATAAAAGGAGCTAGGGACACTTCCGCACACAAAGTTGCCATTAAAGTTTATTTCCCTTTTATCCAGATAGGTGACGCTACACTTTGCCAGTTACTAAAGGCTGCAGGTTTTTGCTCAGAAAAATAATATCGAGGCTTCCAACATGTGTTTATTCCCTGGGCGCGCGCGCACACACACACACACACATACACACACACACACACACACACACCACGGTCTAGCCCCGTAAGCAAGCACGGTGACAGGACTGCCAAGCATTTACACAAAGACAAGCACCACCCCGCCCACCCCCAAGCCTAGTCCACCGAAGTCTACCCCCCCAATAAAGGGTCTCTCTCCCGCTTTCTCTCGAGTTGGATGTTCTCTCTTAACCACTGCAGCTCATCATGGTTTCTCAGAACACCAGCGTGGCTCCCCCAAGCCAGCGGTAACCACCCCCTAAGTAAGATGCTAAATCGCAAAGCGGGGCCACTTCGTGGGGTGGGGAGCAGGCTCCGGGAAGGGGGAGAGGAGGAAGGGGGGACGCTTCCCGATCCCGCTCCCAGCCTCTCACACACGCACCGGGCATCCGGGAGGAAGAAATTCACAAGCTCCAGGGAGAGAAAGCAAGTCCCTCGGAGAAGACAGTGGCTGCACTCGCGGGGGACCCGGGCGGCGGGGGGCCTGGCTTCGGGGGACTGACCAGGACAGTGCACACTCAGAGTGCCCCCCGAGGACGGAAGCCGGGCTTTCCCGAGCCAGGGGCTGACGAGTACTCCCTCCCGGCTCTGCC